ATATGTGTATAAGAGACAGATATATATATATATATATATATACAAACTATCTATGAAAAGTTGAATTTTAAACATGAGCCTTATTTGCTTGAATGAATGAATACATAATAATAATCACTCTTTTACAGAATGGCAACATTGCTGAGTTTTTGTTAAAAGAAGGACTTGCCCGTTGTGTTGATTGGAGCATGCGTGTTGTAACACAAGGAACAGAGAAACTCCGCGCATCAGAAAAGTAAGCTGAAATTTTGTTTCATACTGAAAAATGTTATATATCTTTATTATCCTTTTTCATCAACTTACAAAATCTTTTTTTTTTCAATGTCTTCTATTTCTATTTTTGAAGTCTTCCTTCATGGCCTCATTAATTTTTTTCAATCATTTTTTTCAGAGAAGCGAAAGAGAAGCATTTACGTTTGTGGAAAGACTATGTCCCAAACATAGCAACTGTAGTTCCAATTGAAGAGAAGAATTTGACTGGCAAAGTTGTAGAAGTTATCAACGCAGATGCATTACTCATCAAAACCAATGACTCCAAGTACAAAAAGATAACATTGTCATCTATTAGGCCACCTCGCATGGCAGATGTCAAGGAGGAAGACCAACCTAAGGTACAATAATGATGATAAAAAATATTAATTTAAACATTTTGATAATAGTAATAATCAAAGTAGTAATATTATTATTGTTGTTAAGGATAGCAGTTTTCTAATTATTCTTGATATTATTTCTTAATGTAGGATCGCCGTGTTCGGCCATTGTATGACATCCCATATATGTTCGAAGCCCGTGAGTTCTTGCGCAAGAAGTTGATTGGGAAGAAGGTGTCTGTGTCAATTGACTATATCAAGGAAGCTAATGACAGCTACCCAGAGAAGACTTGTGGTACTGTCATGATTGGCAACATGTGAGTACCAAATTGCTTCCACTGTTCCCATTATATTTGATTAACTAGATTGACTAGATCTCTTACAGCTAAAGGTGAATTGATTTATGTGCTATCCATCCAGTTATTAATCTGTTTAGCTGAATATTAATCCCATATTCACATGTTTTCAGTAACATTGCCGAAGCACTTGTGAGTAAAGGTTTTTCAACGGTGCTTCGTCATCGTCAAGATGATGATCAGAGGTCAGCGCACTTTGATTCGCTCTTGATTGCAGAGTCAAGAGCCATAAAAAACAGTAAAGGTGTTCACAGCAAGAAGGACAACCCAATACATCGTGTTGCTGATGTTTCTGGGGTGAGTATAACATTTCTGACAGTACTTCAAATTCATTACAAAAAAATATAAGAGCAGTGTGAAAATAACATTATAGTACTAGTAATAAAATACTAATGAAACACTTAAGCCCAGTTTAGGTTATGAGATTTTCATTGACAGAACCTGTTGTATGTCCATATATGGTCATGATGTGCTTATATGTGATCATGATGTGATGTCATTATGACCATATTTAGACATGTCTCATGTTTTTGTCAAATAAAATTTGATAGCCTGGACAGGCCTTTACATTGATATTTCTTTAAATCACCGATTGGAGGCACAGACTGCGTATCTTCAGCAAAACTATAAAACTGATGAAAAACTTGCAAACAAAAAACCTTTTTTTTTAAATACCAAAGAAAAAAACTGGTTTATTTAATTTTAATCGGATTGATGTATTTGGTATGCAAGCTTTTGTTCCTCTCTTGATATGTACAAGACAAATTGTAAATAAAGCTTGAATTCTATTATCCACCTAGGATGCGGCGAAATCACGACAATTTCTTCCATTTTTACAACGTGCTGGTCGCTCAACTGGCATTGTGGAATTTGTTGCAAGTGGTTCAAGAATTCGACTCTACTTACCCAAGGAGACTTGTCTGATTACATTCCTTCTTGCAGGTGTGTATATTGGTCTCTTAGAGGCCAAGTTTATGTATAGTTGCCACTTATTTTATTCTAGTTATTATCTCATATATCTAGTAATTTATTTATCAATTTTACCTTATAGCAAAGAGTATAAAATAGCAAGAGGCCCAACTGTCCTGATTTTGCATGCATGCAATGAAACAAAAAAAAAAGTACTACCGTGAGGTACGGGGCTCCCTATTAGAAAATATAGTTTGAAATTGTGTTCAATACAAAAAAATTTTACTTTCATTTGAAGGTTGTCCTCCAATTCTTGGTAGTACTTTTTGAGATAGGATTCCATTTCAAAGAAACCCTGGCATTCAGACCTTACTATTCTATACCATTTGCTTATTTTATATCATAAATGCATTACCTAGCAAGTTTATTTTATAATCAGTATTGTCTTGATCTCATCATTAAAATTTTAACCTTATTTATACCCATTGCAAATATTTTAATGCAAAATGCTTTTATCATTTTAGGTATTACTTGCCCTCGTAGGGCACGCACTGGCCCCGGTGGCCCAGGGGAAAGTGAATTGTACGCAGAGGAAGCATTGCAGTACACTAAAGAATTATGTCTTCAACGTGAGGTTAGTTTAGAATTAGAGGAATTAGAAAAAAGAGATTTATAGGATAAAATAGAGAGGAAAAAAGCAGTGTTTGTTGTGAAACCAAGCAAGTTTCAGACCTCTGCAGAATCAGTAAAGTTGGAGAAATCAATATAATGGAAGTTTAGCTCGGTAGCTTGCCTTCATATCCAAGAGTCCTGGGTTCAAATCTTTGCATAATGTAGATTTATTCTCATGAATAAAACAGCTCCACTCACTAAGCTTCATTATGACACTTTGATTATAAAGCAGAACATGGTCTTGTGGAAGAAAGCTTTATACTGCATAGTTCCCCCCCCCCCCATAAATTAACAAATAGATAATTATATAAATTAAAATACGCCAAGACATTATCAAAATATATTGTATTGTTATCCTTTCTTAAATATTGCTTTTATATAATCGTTTTACATTTTAAAAATATGTTGTATTTAAAATTTTATTTCAAACCTATTATTGGTGTTTTACACTGTTGCATGTAATAAAGAAATTAATATATTAATTAAATCAATTAGATTTAATTAATAAATTAATTCCAATCATGGAGAACTGTAAAGATTAAGTTTCAACCACATTTTGGAAACTATTTCTTGAACATACATTTTTGGATTTTGATCAGGACCTGAAAATTCGTCAACTGAACTGAGACACATTAAGAAATAAATTTCATAATAACCATCTTTGATGTATTGTGATAGTAATTTTTTCATTATTCATTTTTAAATGTTTTCTTGACTGAAGTTTTTCTTATTATTTTGTAGGTGGAAGTTGAAGTTGAAAATGTTGATAAAGCTGGAAATTTCATTGGCTGGTTGTTTGTCGAAGGTCAAAACCATTCTGTGAAGTTGGTTGAGAATGGTTTGTCCAAGGTTCATTTTACAGCAGAACGCTCCAATTACTACGCACAACTACAAGTTGCTGAGGAAGCTGCCAAGAAAACCAAGTTGAAGGTAACAAAATCTGTGGCATTAACAGCATTCACTGACAGTAGGCACCAAAATCAAAAGTGCTCACAATAAAGTTCAGGGTGTAGTTATGGTGGGTGGTGCCACTTAGCCTTGAAGTTTTCCACCCAGTCTAAAGCTAATTTCATGGCCCTCCACCCACCCTTATTAACTCCACTTTTACATCCTTAAAATTCACTCTTATTATTTAGAGTTTGCCAGTGTTATCACCCACCCATCCTTAAAATGTCTGTCACCCATCATTAGTTTTCTACAGCTACAACCCTGAAGATTCTGGTAGTGTGTATTAAATAATCACTTTTGATAAAATTTTTACTTTAGGTTTGGGAAAACTTCGTCGAGCAGCCAAAAGTGACTGTTGTTGAAGAAACAGAGCGAAAGACAAACTACAAGCCAATTATTGTCACAGAGTTAGGAAAAGAACTCAGCTTCTATGCACAACATACTGACACTGGTAAATTGCTATGCCATTAAGACCTCATAGTTCCAAGTGCTCATAACTATGTTGAAGTTCAAGTGGTACAAACTGTCAATCATGATTATACTGTCATCTCCATTTTTATATAAAGAGTTACTAACTAGCAGTTTTTGATCTGTATATTGTTTGCTCTTCTGAAGACAATTTTTTAATACAAGTTGTTATTTACATTTTTTTCTAGGTCCACAACTTGAAAAACTGATGGAGCAATTGCGAGCTGAGCTAATTAATGACCTTCCGTTACCAGGATCCTATACCCCAAAGCAAGGCGATCTATGTGCAGCGAAATATATTGATGGCGAGTGGTACCGTGGTAAGGTTGAGAGCGTCTCCAAGGATAAGTCATCAATCCTTTTCATTGATTATGGAAATGTAAGTTATTATCTAACTTTTGTATAATACAGTGCACTTCCAACTTGAGACTTCTCTAATTCTGAGACCCCTCAATTTGAGACCACTTTAACAATCTTAAATCTTTTAACACAAAGCTAATTTTCCTGTTGGAGAGACCAACCCTAATGTTCAGGTCCCAAAGGTAGCCTCAGATAGGACTGCGAAATGTATGTAATTTTCCAAAATTCCATAGAAGTTAAATTATACTGGAAATTAACTACTTAAGCCTGATACTCAGTTGTGATTACTGTCTCTTATACACATCTAGATGTGTATAAGAGACAGAGATTAAACATGATTTATTTTTTGACCCACAGAGAGACAAATTAGCCAATGCTGACCTTGTTGCATTGCCTCCTGGATACCACACCCTTCCACCACAAGCACATAGCTACACTCTAGCTTTGGTCATGCTACCAAAAGATGTATGTATAGAAGTTTTCAGATCAAATTTATTAGACTTTTCTTAAGATGGGGAGGTGTATGGGCAAAAGGGCTGAATTGCCAGATGGAAGCAGTTTTCAGCTACTGTTGTACTGGCACACATGTCCAATTTTTTTTTCCAAAAAGAAAATAGCTTTGACTGTCAGAGAGCTTAATGCCCAACCCCCAGTTGATAGGATTTCCAGATACTTATGTCCTTGGTTTATGATAAAGAAGCAAAAAGTAAAGAAGCTAATGGAAAGATTTATTATAGAATTTTGGTGTCATATCAAAGGCTAACTTTTTACAAATTGAAGTCAAATATATCATAATACTGTATTATAACTGTGTATATAATTTTACAGGAAGAAGCTAGATTAGAGGCTGTTGAAGGATTAAAGAGCCGGATTTTGGATCAACAGTTTAAGGTCAACGTTGAATACCGCATCACTGGTACCGAGTATGTCACTTTAATGACACCTGATTTGCGCACCGATATTGGCAAAGAGTTAGTTTCAGAAGGATTGGTGATTGTTGAGCCGCGACGCGAGAAGCGCCTACAAAAGCTTGTTGAAGAATACATCAAAGCTCAGGATGCAGCCAAGAAGAGCCATGTAAGTTTAAACTGTGTTTTGTTTTGTTTTTGTTATTTTTGGTGGTCAGTTTCCAACACCTTACTTACCTTAACACTTTTACTATTTACTATAACTTCATGAAATTACCCAATATTATTATAACTTATAATTAATTTTTTTCAATTTATCCAATATTAACTAAAATTAATTCTTTTATATTGATGGAAAAATATGTCAACGGAAGAAATAGAACAAGTTAAATTATTGATTTTGAAACTTGTTTTTTACAGTTGAATCTGTGGCGCTATGGTGACATCACTGAAGATGATGCTAAGGAATTTGGTTACCAAGGATACTAACATTAAGAATGAACTTGCTGGTAGAGCTCTCTCTTGACAGACAGACATCACACAATGAAATCCCTTATTATTTTTCATGAGTTATATCAAATTGTTTTAACAAGATTTAAGATGTGTTTTCCTATAAATCAAATATTCTTAATATTTAATTAATTCTACAAGACAATTAAAGATAACTATGTTATAAATTTCATTTAATTTGCTGTATTGATTCATACACGTGGAATCTTTACTTGGATTTGTATCAATTTTAACCTGTCTGTTAAGAAAAGTGTGGCCAGCAATTTAAAACAAGAATCCACATAAGTTGAAGATAGTGTGAAATTAACCAATTGTACGTCAAAGATAGGAATGAAAGAATGAATGAAAGGTAAACCTCATTTCAAACTGAAACAGAAGAGTAGTTATGACAAATGAATGTTGGTCAGGGCATTCACTGTGCACGACGGTCGTCAGCCGATGCCATTCTACTAAGAACGCAACATGACGACGGGTATACAAAGGATCGATTTTAATGATGATCAGCCAGCAGACGGCATCACGTCGTCTATAGACCCACATAGAGTGGAATTAGAATAATCAGCAGACAGTCGTACGAAGCAGTGAGAGCCAGACTTAAATAAACAGTGCAAGTTATACTTAATAAGCTATAACATCTCAAACTATATGAAAAAAAACAAACTTGCTGATACTCAGTTGTGATTAAAAACAAAAGTGGTAGCCTTTTTAAATCATGTTTTAACAAATTAAGTTGATAATGATAGCTTTTAAATTATAAATTCACTGAAATGTGGACAAGTAAACTGATACAATATTTAAAGAGATTTTCATTTATATTTTAAATAATATACTAAAGCTCTGTCCACACTATCAAATACCTGTGTTTTGCTCGCACATGGGTATGATGTCATCATTGTGGTTATGATGTCATCATGCTCATATGAGGCATGTTATTCAAAAACCAGTGTACTGTCGCTATATATTAAACCGAGTAATTAACATAATGTGGCAGTATTGTGTACTTTAGTACAGAGAAGCTGTAATACTTTTACTCATAATTTTGGCAATATTAAGTCAATTCCAGAAAATCATCCATCATTTTAAAGCGTATAATGTGGATAATATGATTTAAAAGTCGATTTTGGTTTTTTTTTTTTTTTTTTGAACATAGATGCTGGTTTTGGGATGGCATTCCCCATATGAGCAATTCACTCAGTTTGAATCTGGTTTGCCTAGTAAAATGTCTGCAGTTTGAATATATAGACAGAACTTTTGCTTTTTTCAAAGGATATAATTAATAGTTTTAAAAAGAATATTAAGAAGAATTAAAAGAATATTATATATAATATATATATTACCGATAACAATGCATTAATTTTAACTGAAGTGTTAATTTGGTTATTAACATGCAATTTTTTTGGACAATGAATTTACATTTATCCTGTTGGCAATACTTGGATAATTAAATGAATCAGTTTTTACTTCCAAAAGTACCTAGAGTATTCCATAGGTGTCATTACTGTATTTTATGAGTTATTATTCACTGTGCTTCCAAGGATGTCAGAACTATAAATAAATTGAACCTTGCAAGAAATCTATTTGTAAATTCAAACTGTAGGTTGGAATAAATGTGAAAGGAAATAACTATGAGATTGTATTTTTAATTTGTTTTGTGTATGGCATAGATAGATGTATAGGTTTCTTCGCTTGAAATTTGGAGACCCACTGCAATGCAGCAAGTACTGTGCAGTGTGGGGAACACACACTCCCAAAAACAAACTTGTGCCTCCCACTTTACCTTCAAGCCCCTTCCCCATATCAATACCCCTAGATCCGTGGTCAGTACACCGGGATAAACTCCCCTACTCTTTTTGAATAGTGTACCTTTGTTGAAAATTGGAGACCCATGGTAGTGCAGTGGTGTTTCTAGTGGGTGCATGACCACCAAAAACAAAAACTTCCCCCCACTGAAATTTTTTGATGCATAAAATTTAGGCTAAAGTAGTAAATAATCACCTCATACCCTCTCACCTTTGCCTTTGTGTCCTCCTCAATTTCAATACGCCACTGGTACTATGGTCAGTACACCGGGAGCGAAAAAAAAAAAATATATATATATATATATATACATATATATACATACACACACCTTAAAGGGACATGTTTCTTTATCTTTATTCATTTATGAATACACAACAAAGAACACTAATTTGCAGAATTTAAATATTTATTAAAACAAGTTTTACAATATCATTACTGGACACTTTGCTCAGAATCCTTTACAACACATTTAAACATCTGATATATAGTCTTACTGGTTTGGAAAAACATGATTTTAGTTGAATAACTTGTGTTAATTATGACTGGCCTGATAGATTTCTAAGCTTTAAGATATACCATCTGCATAACAAAACAATTAAATAAGCTCACATATTATAATTATCAACTTTCAGAGCAAATTACAAGTACTTGATTATCACCAATTTAAGGGCTTATGCAAAGAATATTACACCGCTAATTGGGGAGAAAATTACTAAGTACTAATTATTATTTGAAAGCTAAAGACTTGCCTAAATGTACAAAGAATGCAATTTAATATCAGTTATAAAAGTGAGCCCTCTATCTGGTATTGCAACTCCGTAAGACATACAACTTTTTAAAGGTACAAAAGCAATGGCATTTCTAGTGATCATTACATTACGTAACAGAGGTGTCACTTTACTCCCCGACGAGAGAGAGCCTTCACTTAAAATCCTTGGAAAGTGGTCCTGTGGGACAGGGCTGGAAAAAGTGCGTGACAGACAATCGGAGGCATCATAAATGTCCCGGAGGCATTTTTTGGGGATAAGAATAGTAAAGAATCAACTGCGGGGCTATATAGGGTACAGATTTGATTTTCATGGTTGGAGGCACAAAAAAAATTTTTCCAGGCCTGCAGGGGAAAAAGCCCCAAAAAATATGACTAATGGTTTCAATGACTTATTTAATCGATTTTAGGGTCTACTAATATGTAGAAAATGCATATATTTTTTTTTTCTCCCCGATGAATTGCAGTTTGTAGCTCTCCCTGATAGGGCCCTGGTTTTCCAGTGGTGCCACCCCTGTTATGTAACTACTGTATCTTTTACATCAAGCGTTAAAGATATTGGAATGCTAGCTGTACTTCCACATATATCCACATAGTTATATATCATCCACATATTAACTGTAGGTCAATAGGCCAATGTGAGCCATTAGCTCTTAGGTGTACGCCCTTTGACCTTACTACTGTAGCTGGCTGGATTTCCAATGTCCATCCTGTCTTCAGATGGCATGGTTACCACGTGTGTGCACACCTGTTTGTCCCATCCACAGGTGAAGAGCTTGTTGCTAAGCGGATCCCAAGACAACCCACGTACATAATCGTTGTGGCTGTAACTACGATATCTGAAAATGTAAAGTTTTCAGATATCGTAGATATCGATAAAGGAATAGAAAAATGAAATAAAAAACTATATGGCAAAGTGAATCAATCAGTACAATTAACAAATGCCTATCAAGTTAGTAGGAACAGCATTCCATGGGCCGATCAAGTAGGGGAGGGGGAAAAAAAAAATAAAAAAAATAAAAGAAAAGAATGGAAAAAGATGGGCGCACGAAACAAGCTAATTTTTTATTTAAATACCAGTGGTCAAGCATTAAAAAAAAACAACAAAAAAACTTACATTTGTCTAGGTTCACTGGCCATATCCGTCACAACAGCTGTGCTATCATCTGACACTGAGGCTAGCCAAGTTCCACTGTTAGATAAAACAAGAAATCAAAACTCCTAACTTTGTTTTGAAATTAATTTTCGATTTTAAAGGAAATCAAGTAATGATAAAAACTATAAAACTAAACAACTTACATAACCGGTGTATATAACATTTTTGGTTATTATCAGCATCAGAAATTAACTGTAGTTAAAAATACACTTTTAAACTACACTTTTGAAATAACTTACTTTTTTGGTGAGAATGCAAGTCTATTGACAGCTCTGGTATGTGCCTGACAATCTTTAATCATACCACCTGCATTTCTAATGTCTTTCAACACAATGTGCCCAGATTCATCACCTTGGATTGAGATTTTAAAATGAAAACATATGGATATTACTCTTCCACAGGCTCCACATATTTAATTCAAATTCAATTAAACAATATTTTATTCCAAATCAAATAACATAAATACAGTACAGTTCAAAGGCTTCAAATAAAAAAAAAATAGGACAACCACAAACATATAAAAGCTTTAACACTGTGGTGTCCTTTTGAGAAGAATAAATCAAGTAAAAAAAAAAAAATTAAATACATTAATCAATCAATAAATTAATAAATCAAATAATTGTTTAATCATTTAAGCAACTGATTCAGATTAACTAATCAATCATTTAATAAATAAATAAACAAATAAATAAATACACGAATAAGTATATAAATAAAGTAAAGAATAATAATATTAATACATGAAAATCAATGTCATATGGTAAATATATAATGATATATTAGAGAATAGTTAATTTACAAAATAGTAAAACAATAACAAAAACTAGAATTTTTATACAACATATTTGATATTTTTTTTGTAGATTGATACATAAAGATTACAATGAAGACCAGAGTAAACATTGAGTATAGAGGCCTTATTCGGCACTTGACATGAAACAGATGGTTAACGTCTTACCTATTGCAATTACAGCAGTTTCACCAGGCTTCCAGGCCAAGGAGGTGGGTAAAGAGTAGAGAGGGCTTGAGTTGACTTTAAAAGCAGGCTTAGGTTTCCTGGTGTCCCATAGTAAAACACGTCCATCCTGCACATGAAGAAACACTGCACAAGTATCATGTCTGATAATTTGCAAGGGGAGTTAAGAATAGCACATGGAATGGCTACTTACCTGAGAGCAGGATGCAAAGACTTCCAGCTCCACTGGACTCCATGCTACCTTCTCTACAGGAGCAGTGTGAGCATGGTAGGTAGCAGTTGAGCACTGGCTTGCAACATCCCATATCTTGATTCTGGAAGGAGAAAATTAATTGAACCACGTCACAAGTCAGACATTAAATTGTATTCCGTTCACATCTAGCAGCAAGCCAATACACCAATTAAAGTACCCTATAATGGGGTTTAGCGAGAAACATAATGAAATACAAGTGACCAATAATGACCTAGAGAAAAGTGCAAAAAAAATTACCGAAATTGGCACCATACACGAAAAGAGACTAGAAGACCCAACAACACAGAGGAAAATATAAGAGGCTAAGAGCCTGAGAGGAGAAAGCTCAGGTTGAAAATCTAGGAAGATGCAGCGGTAGTGGTGATTGGTAGGAAGGAGTGCAGACAAATGCTCTACATGGCTTTAATCTTCAAATGAGAAGCGAGAAGTAATTGTAAAGTAATGATGCTACTTACATGCAATCGGCACTACCACTTGCTAGCCTAGTCCTGTTTGAATTAATTTTAACAGAATTGACAGTTTCGTGATGTTCAAACAGATAGAAGAGATTCTTAAAAGAGCTCCGACTATCAACAAGCTGCCAGATTTCAACAGCACCTGTTAAAAGATTTATCAACAACAGAAAACATTGCAGTGTCAATATACATTTTTCCAAAATTAATCACTCACAAAAATATATTATACAATATAAATTAAATGAAAACTAAATATCCAAGCACATTAAAGATAGAAAAACAATTTCCTTATAACTTAAATATTTTAGAAGCATTATTAATTAAAATTAAATAAATAAATTATATATAAAAGTACTCGTGTCAAACTTCCATAAATAATCCCTGATAGCAATATAGTATTGGCATATATTTTAATTGGCAGGGTATTTTGGAAGTGCCAGGTATTACAAGTATTATAATAATTACCGTCAACAAACGTTGCTGAAGGTTGTTGACGTTTGATGACAGTAATTAGTATGCGTTTAAATTAATACTAATTACCATCAACAAACGTTGTTGATGGTTGTTGACGGCACTTAGTATATGTGTACAGTAATACTAATTACCATCAACAACCGTCACAAAATTAGAGTCCTGAACTATATACCAGGGCATATGTAGGCAAATAGATTAATAATAATATTTATAATGATAATAATAATACTAATATTGATGATAAATAATAATGATAATAATAATAACAATAATAATAATAAATGATAGTAATAATAATAATTAATAGTAATAATAGTAATAATAATAAAAATAATAATAATAATAATGATAATAATAATAATAATAATAATATATTATATATACATCGATTCCACAATTACACTTATACTATAATTATACATACGTATATGGCCTCAACGCTTGTTGACGGTAATTAGTATGACCCGGTTAAACAATTGTTAGTACAAACAAATGTCATACATATTAGTATTATTTAGAACAACACTAGATATCCAGGTATGTTATTTACGCTATAAACTAACTGAGTGCGTATCAGAAAAGTAGGGAAATAGGAGCAGACAAGATCAGGCGAACAGAGAGCCAACACACACACACACACACAAGGGAGAACACACAAGACACGCAGAGCTCACCTCCCATATTCATGATGAACAAGTGGTTGTAAACTATAGTCTATTTGTTGAATGGAATTAAAAGTTTACTACAGTGAAATATTGTCTCACATTTTATGTATTGGATCCTGTGTGCTGACAGCGTAACAGTATATCAAAAATATGTATTACCTACACATAACAATGCATCATAAACAAAAACCTTACCAACAATATCATGATCTTACCAGTATCTGAAGCAACGGCTATTCTTAATTCATCAATCCATATAATATCTGTAACACCAGCCTCAGTTTGAACCCCAGCACTACAACGTTCAATGGTTGGTGCATTGTTAGGATCTTCATAAAACCATAAGGAACCAGCCCAGTAACGACCGGTTAAACCAGACGCACCTAGTATGAGAGAACCATCTGCAAGAACACAAGTAATCAATTTTAATAATGTAGCATATTAAACAAATAACCTGTAAATGAATGCGGGAATTATATCCTTATGCATAAATTTATTTAGCCATGGCATAGAAATCTGTGCATTTCATTGAAAATTGAAAAGACGGCACATAGAAAAAATTATTAGACTACCACTCTTTAAAAAAAAAAAAAACTGATGAGGGCAGGCGTTTTTTTAATTTTTTTAAACCAGAACAATAGTATATTGCTTTTTTTTTTATCGACGAGAGAGGTGACTGTTTTTATTTTGCAAGAACATTGTAAATATTGTATAAAAACTGGTTTATTTTATTGTTTTTTAAAAAAAAAAGTATTTCCAGTCACAAAATTGCATTGTTTCCTTTATGTATGCTGTTGAAATAAACGATGCAGCAAAAAAAAATTTTATTACCGCATCAATATTTCCAAAATTTTTTATCCGGGAGGGAGTGATAATTTAACAATTTTTTCTATGTGCCCGGCCTAAAGGCTTAATTTCACAGAAATCTGAAAGTTAGGAATTTGTGGAGTAGCAATAAATTTTCATGGGCTTTTTATGTCTAAAAACTAAGTTCAGTATAACTCTAAAGTTGAGGTACGCCCTCAATCAATAAGCGCCCATGTAATCGAAGGCGTACTCCTGCCTCTGTGTTGTGATTGGGACTGTCATTTCATCCTGGCTTAGTCTTCTTTCCTTTTGGTCCAACTGATTACCTAGGCCAGGCCTTACTTACTACTCTAGACTACTAGCTAGGCTAGGCTAAGCGCAAACCCTGAACCAAACAATAGAGAAAGAAAATAAATTTATTTTCTTTCTCTATGACCAAACTCAACACATGAGACCACTCTTTCTTAATATTCATTTAAACTATCTTAATTCTTATGTACTTGACGATAATTGTCCAATTTTCAGGTTACCGTTTTGCCTTTGGATGTTTCAGAAAGCAATTGTTTAAGGATAAAAGTTCTTAATGTGTTGACATTGTATACCTGATATACTGATAAGTTTCGTTGAGATATAGAATTGTAACATAACTTTATTAGAAAGTTGTAATTTCATTTTTTATTTTTTCTTTCATTGACAGACCTATTATTTCAAGGTATATTAAGGTCGTGGTTAAGGCCCTATAAAAAATATTATTAGTTTATCACCCTATCTGGGTAAGAAAAGTGATGAGGGAGGGAGGCTTTTTTTTTTTTTTTTTTTTTATTATTTTGCTAAAGCCAAATATCACCCTTGGGTTGTTTACTGGTGCATTGATATTCAAAGTAAAACATGATTTAGATAATGCAAACAATATCTACTAACTATTTAATAAAATAAATGAAAAAAAAAATAAAAAATTTAAATGGTTTTTTTTCAAAATTTTTTTTTTGTTTTTCAGTACCATAGAAGACGCGCGTGAGGGTGATCAAAATAATATTTTTTTTTATTGGGCCTAATCATTAGACCTGAATATGGTACCCTATGAATACACGATGTCATGCATTCTGGAACATGTTGACGAAAAAAAAGCTTCATAATTTTCAGAAATTTATTGCTATAAAAGTTAGTTTTTATTTTTTAACCAAGAATCTTCACTCATTTTATATTGTGTACATTTTTACATCCATTTCACTGGTTCAGTGTGGTTCCTTGTGGTGTTAGTAAGACTGACCAGCATTTTTTCACATAAGGCAAGACTTTTTTTATACCTTGTTTTGCGAACCCGCCGCCCTCCAATATTGATAATTTCGAATAAAAATAAAATTTTATTTTTGCCAAATTAGCACACCCTCTGCCGCGAAAAGCTGGAAATTTCAGAAAAAATTTAATGTTTTTTTAAATATTTGTTACGTCCGCCATTGCCTTGAAATCTCTAAAAATAAGATATGTGTATTTCTCCCTACTATTTATAGAAATTTAAAGCATGTAAGCATCCTATTACTACACTGTTTACATTCAATAATAAATTTTATTTTTGTTTATCCTCTGTCGGGATGTTTTTGGCAAAACTACTTGCTACACAAGAAAACAAAATTTTAGTTTTATTTTTTTTCCGCCCGCCTCTGACAATCTTTTAAAAAATAAGTTCGCGAAACAAGAAATAAAAAAAAAGTCTCGTCTAACTAAAAATAGTTATCATTATGAGACTTAGTTTATAAAACATAACCGGGGTGTGGGAGAAAAGTAGATTTTTATTTAACAGGTTACCCAGTTTAAAGAAGAAAATACATATTAGCAATGCCAATGTGAGTAGGATATTTTAAATTCAATGTGAGTTTATATTTCTTAACTCTAAGTATTGTAGCTCTCTTCACTTCCATTACAAATTCTTCTGTATCTAAATGGTTGGTATTTTGGTTTCTTTTGGATTTGTGAGATTCTTATTTTTGCATATAAAGGTAAGTAACATGTTTTAAGAATCATAATACGAAATATATTTTTTAGCAGATTTTTTGAAAAGATTGATACTGTACAAATATCTATATAAACGCTCCTATTTATTTTCCCCCTCTAAGTATGCATTTATAAACTTAATATTTTACAGTGTAACATGTTATTATTTTCTTGAAATGTTTTTTAGGCACTGTGCTTCCTTATCCAGGATCCAATTTAGCAGGGGAAATTGTATTGTTATTTACTTTGTTGGCTGTTGAGGTCGTCAGGTTATTTATGGGTATGTTTTCATCAATTATATAGGCTACTACCCATTTACAGTACCATAGAATCCCTTAACTTTGTTATCAAATTCACTTAAGAATTTTCAACTGAATTAATAACAAAAACTGGATTAAATTAAAGATATTTTTGGTAGTGTAAATGGGCTCTTTAAGAATAAAATTCTGTTTTCTTAAAAGCAGTAAATAGAATTTTATATAATGCAGGGGCGGCGCCAGGAATTCCCAGACAAAGGGTTTTTGATTATGGGATTCTTTATTTAATTTCGGTGCTCGAGATTTTATTTTCCCCGACGACCTTTGTTGGAAATTCCCTGACAGGGGGTCCAAACAGACCCCCGCTAGCGCCACCCCTGCTATAATATAATATAAATTTTATTATTATTTTTAACTTGCTAATATATTGTAATGCTATGTTTATGTTATGATCAAACAATGGATGTCGGCCAATATGGTTCCTGAAATTAATTTGTTTACACTGGGAATGTTTACTTCTTAAATACAAATTTTTAGAGACAGTACTGGGTACTAACTTTTTAATGACTTGCATTCACTTGATGTAAATATTTTGTTTGCAGGGAAGAAAGGTAATTTGACAGAGAAGTTAATGCATCTTGCCGTTTCAGTAGCTCTGAGTGTACCTGTTATTTTTGTTTATATTTACTACCTTATTTGGCAAACGTATGTGCTGCGAGTTGAGGTCATTCTAAATGCTATTCAACTTGTATTCCTAGCATTTGAAATCATCTTCAGCCTCATAGCAATAATAACATTTGCAAGGTATGTTTTCTAAATTTTAAAATAATTATGTTATATTTCTGTTAGTTTTTCTCCACTTTACCCCTTTTTGATTGTTTATGAGATTTTATATTGATATTTTATTTTGTATTTTTAATTTTAAATGTCATTTTGTATTTTACATCAAATTGCAATAAATTGTTTTTTCGTATTTCATGTTATTGTTGGTAACGTATGTTTAATTTTACCGTTTGTTAGAGGTTTTGTGTGTACTGATACGACAACACATAACACCAGCCCTGAAGTGTCTTCATTCGCTTCCCATTAAACAACGTTGTATTTTCAAATTGCTTCTTTTGGTATAATATATGTTACTTGCGTTTCACAAACCATTATGTTTGTTGCATCACTTAAAATGTCATGTACCTATCTGCCATCTTCGTTCATCGTCAAAAAATCTTTTGACAGTTCCATCTCCTCGAAACAAAACCAAAACATATGGTCAACATGCTTTTTCTGTTCAAGCTCCTTCTCTGTGGAATTCTCTTCCTTTTTCTGTTCGTAATTCGCCTAATTTATATTCTTTTAAGAAGAACTTAAAGTTTCACCTTTTTGAGAAATGTTACTGAGTTTGTTTTCTCCTGCGCCTTTGATAAATTTTTGAATTGGCGCTATATAAATGTTTATTATTATTATTATTATTATTATTATTATTATTATTATTATTATTATTATTATTATTATTATTATTATAATAATAATATGGTATCCATGTTTCAACACTGGCCATGTCTTGTCAAAGGTTATTTAATGTATTTTTCATCTTCATTTTCTTTTTGCAGAGCTGAGGCTTACCGGTGATCTCATCTAGTAATTCTCACCGAAGTCTATTCAGTATGAGCCGATACCAGTTTGAATTGCCACCAGTGTGTTGATGACCCTTGGAGCGAATGCCATTTTGATTGAGTACAAGTTGTATGAATTACAACTCAGATGGTTTTTTTCTAATACAAAATATTTGCCGTCCTAAATCAGTTGTGAAAAATTATACTTGTTTGTCCTCCTCATTCAAATGCCATGACAAAGCTATTCCAGGCCTACAGAAGACAAAATATGTGGATATAAAGTAAACATGCTAAAGATTAATATTCAATACTGTAGCCATGAATAAAATGGTCATGTCAATTTTTGGAGTGACATTCTTATTATTTGTAGCCATAAATGTATATTTTGTACATATTTGAGAAGATAAAGTAATAATAAACATTTATAGCTACTGAAAGTTATTTTGTGAAAGTAAAACATTATTAAATTTTAAAGATAATGTAATAAACTGGATAAATATGTTCTCTTTAGAGTATTACTCGTACCATTTCCACTCACCTGGTTGGTATTGCAAAATTTGTTAATAATAATAATATGCTTTATTTAAACATGGACACTATTGAATATCCCATGGATGTTTTTACATCAAGGCCATACATAATAACAAAATTATTGAAAACAACAGAAAAACAGTATCTTAACTACCATTGCAACTATTCCCTGCCAGGCACCAACGCAGAATTGTTTGAAAACATGTAAATTGGAAATTCTATATCTGTTGAATTTGGCTTGCTCAAACATTACTTCATATTGACGTTTTACCTTTTGAAAACATTCCAAACATTTCAATCTACCACGTGTATTTGGTTTATATCTATGCAGCCAGGCTGTTATAGAATTTACTCTGGAAATGTTGATATAGGAAGATATAGTGCGCCAACAAAATTTAGTGTACATGAATAACCTCTGGCCACATTAACTTACTTTTTATGTCTTTTTACCATATCTGAATTATTGGAGGCTACAGTGGTCTTTCGTGTAAATAGTGTCATTTTATGTAACTTGCTTTTTAATGTTTCACTTTTTTGTATATAAGCACCTCAGGAAGGTACACTTTAACTTTTCTGTGGCTCCATTTGTTTTCCTTATTAGAGACCAAATCTGCTGAAGACCAAGCAAACCCTGGTCACACACACTAACGTAGTGGTTCAACAATGTAGACAAAATAAGTCCATGGTTTAACAAAATGAAAGCAAGGAGGTCGCCTGTCTGAAGTAGACTTTTACCTTAAATGCCTATACTTAGATTAAGAGGTAGACACATTTGTATTTATTTTACGTACAAATCGCGATTAGGCTTACGCCAGTTGATAGTCTTTACTTAATGGGTGTAAAAGACAAATAACAGCTGGATTTAGGAGAAGATCAGACTGTTCTAGTTGTACCTTGTTTAGAAGGTTGAACCTTCCGAGACTACTCATGCACTGTCTCTTATACACATCTTATATATATATATATATATGCTTGTAAAAAATGTTCCATTGTCTAGTCTATTTTGTGTTTTACACTCATCTATGAGATGAAGATTATGTAGTTTAATTAAAGTTATTCTGTAAAGTTCTACCTCAACTTCGTTACTCTTATCCATGTGTTGAATAGATTTTACACAAATAGAGCAATCACTTTCCTGAAATATTCAAAAGACAGACTTATTACCACCAACTAAACCAATATATGACAGTGGAATAAAGTTAAGACAAGATGTTCGCTTAATGATTTGTGGAACTATGTACAGTATGATATAGGCCTGTTTGAACTATAATATACATAAAAATATAATAATGTAAAATGGATAAAATAATAACATTTTTACACACTACCATAGCAATGCTCAAGGTACTTAACATTCTAAAATTGTTTTTAAAAAAAACAACCACAGGATAAAAAAAAAGCTATAAAAATATTCGAATTTACAATATTTATCTAACCTTTGTTTCTAACATTCAACTGATTGTAAAATCTATATTTCGTGATCTGTAGTTCATTACTCGAATACAGGCACATTAATCTATTCAGTCAGTTCAATGACAATATATTTATATTTGTGTCAACCGTATCACAGAATCTATATATAGTAAATTGCACATGGATTTACACGTGTATGGACGCATTATTCTTTACATCTCTTGTGCAGGATGATACAGTATTTTTAGATTGCATCTAGAAAATTAAGTGGTTTTTTTTATGTCATTAAATGTTAGCGTCACCATCACCATGGTAATCAGAAACATCAGTCAATCATTGTACCGTAAAACTATGTGTCGGACTACAATGAAATCGAAAAATATGTCCAAATATAAAATTGATATAGGGCCTACAATCTGTAGCAGTTCAGCATGATACTTGGCAATTAACAGGCTTTTAAAAATATTAATAATCTTTTTATCCCGTCATATATTTTTGGCAGCAATAAGGATTTAAAACATCTATAAATGTATTTGTTTTTCTATTTGCTAATGGTTAATAAATTATTGTTCTTTTAAATGAGTTTTGCAAATTTTAATTATTTGATTTTTTTTTTGTTTTTTAAATGTTTTAGGTGGCAGTTGTTTTTTTTAAGCCGCACTCACTGGGTTGTACAGTCGTGGGCCGGTGTGTCTGAACGAACCGTCACTAAAAAGCGATCCGTTGTGCGCGCGTCCACGCGTTGATTTCCTCATAGAATCGCATCGGCCGAGAATACCGTCGGAAGCAGTAAGTGCCCGGCTTTTGTTTTGTTTTTTTATGTCCACACTTGCGTCATAGATGATTCTGTACCCAAGTATCTAAAATTGTGTTTATCTGACGTTACAATATGCCTTTCAATGTTTTGAAGTATCTTGTAGAGTACAGGAGTGAGTTTTGTCTTAGGGTACGCCTTTTTCACCACATCGTAGGCACTTGCCATGGACATACGTTGGTATTGCATTAGATACTGAATGACGCCAGTTGGCGATCTTGATTGTCCGTGTAAACTATGCACCAACACTTTCAAGTTCGCTTGTCGGGCTTTCTCTATAAATGTATTAATCTCTGAGAAGTACAATGGATACTCTTTTTCGAGAATTTTTTCAGTGACACGGAGTCGCAGTCGAACGAATGTGTGAGGAGTACCTGATTTACAGACGCACGGATTCATTGGTTTTGTGACATCAGTCATAGAGTTACTCATGTCAATTAAGGAAGTGATCCGATGGCGACACAGCAATGATTCGTTGTATGCTGATTTTATGTCACCGACGAAGAGAAAATCCAGAATCTGAGATATATGTTGTTCTTGATAACATTTCAAATGGTAAATTTGTATTGTTGGTATGACTTTTGCGGTGTCACTGGTGTTGGTATCAGAATTAGGAAAGGTCAAAGTACGTGTAGGTTTGACGCGAACGCGCGTAGTGCCCATTCCTCCTGACTGATATCTGGAGAAGAAATTTAAGCGTCGATGCGGATGAATATCTTCCGGTTGATTAAGTGGCTGGTGTTTGATTTTGTTGAATTTGGATAGATCAGAGCACGATGAAGAAATACGTTTCGAAGGTGCTTGTAGTAAACTCATTCCTGGATCACTATCCACTTTCCGTTTAATCGACCTACAATTTGAGTGTTGGAAATGTAATTTATCAGCCATCCGGTAGTCTGTCATTTGTGTTGATCTTAGTAACGGCATCTGCAATAAGTTTGAAAAAAAATATAACCAAAATATTTTCTAGCTACATTTATGGAGCAACATCATCACACATCGTTTCAATCAGTTATTTGAATGATACAACAGACATTCCCGTATCCCCGGTGGGGGATTAATAAGTGCGAACGCATCTCCACCCCACCCCCAGTCGTAGGTTCACATTTAAAGGCAGGCGATTGTGTACTCAGTATATTTAAGTCCAAAACCTGGAATTGAAGCCCTGGGCTTTTTTTTTTTTTTTTTTTCCGAAATTAGGATGGGCTTCTTTTCAAGGCTACTTTTGCAAAGAGTAGGGGGGGGGGGCTCTTTTCAAAATGAATGCTGTAAATTTTGGGAATTACTACTATAAACAATAAACAGAGCCACCGTAACATCAGTCTGCGTCATGGAGTGTATTAGGCATTAAATCACCTAAACTGTGGTATAAACCAAGCATGCCAAAGCTATCTTCTTTTCGAGGCCGCTTTTACAAACTAAAGAGGGGGTTTACAATTCGAGATGGGCTTCTTCTCGAGATTAAGCATATTGGGTCTCAATTCGAGATTTTTGCGGTATCAAGATTCTGTTACCCTTTGCTGTTTCTTGTCTGCATCTCTCCTTTAAACTAGATCGAACAGCCATCATCATGTGTAGGCTATAATATATACATATCAGCATAATTGAAAATGGAAACATATACCGGTATTGACCTCGAATAGATTGTCAGTTGACGGTGATTGTCTGTAAGTCAGACCTCGCCTAAAGTCGAATTTTTGATAGCAAAACATTCCTGCCATATATCCGTGGTTGTATTACCGTTTTTAATTGTACAGGTAATTGGAATTTTGGCAGTGCTGTTTTTCTATCTCGACCTAATGCCGATATGTGTACGCGATAATATTTTCAATATAGGGCCAAATAAAATTAATTGTTAGGTTCACATCTGGATTTGAAATTATTTTTTGGTGAGGGTATTTACTATTTGCTTTTTACTATCCTATATACTAATGGTAAACAGACTGGTAAATAGTAAAAATTGTTGTTTTTTTTTAATAAGTAAAATGAATCTTTGTAATGTATTTTTGCCATTTATTTTCCTACCTCTTCTTAGACTTGACATCATTCTTTCAGATAATCATTATATTTATTGTCCATTAAAAAAATATCATATAGTAAATTTTTTCATGAGGCTCCAAAATTTTATGAGGGCGGAGACGTGAAACTGGCTATTAATTTTATTTGGCCCAAATCCACCAGTGACATTTCATCGAAAACGATTAATGTTTTCTTCTTTACCGTACCGACATATTATACAGCATGAACGACGACCATAAGAAAAAATATACCCAAAAGCAAGGGGTCCTAAATGAACATGTTCTCTCTTATTATCTCATCATCGTCTTCATTTTCTAAATATATCAGGAAATGTAGTATCTATAAAATACAGCATCGATCATACATGTGTTCATCCTCTCCCGTCTCTTCTCTTGTTTGCACTTTTTGAATCCATCTTACAAGACTCAACCACCTGCACGTCTAACATTATAGTTAATTCTTAATAGTTAAGTATTTTCTAATAGGCATAAACCCTTTACGAGATTTAATTGGTACGGTAATTGTCGACATTAGAATTCGAGTACGCCTTTCCTTATAATTATTATGTACGAAGCACTGCACCTCATTCAATCCACTTGCATCCTTCAGAGTTTTTTTTTCTGCTTCCTTTAATACGTCCCTGAAAAAAGTCCGGCCGTTTCCTTAGGTAATCGTATTTTCAATCAGTTTCAGTGCCTTGTAACAACACTAAAACCATCGGATAGAGATCATTTTCATTAAATTTGTCTCAACAACACTCGATCAACGTCCATGGCTCATTTAGAAAATGCACTTAAGATTCTCCTCTTCTACAATAAACATGAAGCGTTAATATTAACGTCGGTTTTTTAAATTACGATATAGTCTCTAAATCTCTCATTATTAATTATTATATATTATTATTATTATTATTATTATTATTATTATTATTATTATTGCTGTACTCGTACAATAAATATTTTATTATGAGGTAGATACATAAACTTTGTTTGATTTCTTATTTATAAGATTCTCCCTATGTATACATACCGGTATACACACACACATGTTCCTTATTTGAGCACTTTTATTATCTATTTGATTTATACATTATTTGTGTTCTCAGTGCTAACAGCAACTATATATAAATATATATATAAATGTATATATATATATATATGTATATATATATTTACGGGCAATCAGAGGTGGCAAAAAAGTTGTTCACCAGCCAAGGTGGGGCTGAAGTGGATGCTCTCAGACCTCACTACCTTTAAACTCTTGTGTCTGTGGATAAGTAGCGGGTCCACACTTCAGTTACTACCAGATTTGTTAAGTGTCACCCAACCCCCAACCCTCTCTCTAACTATATGGCTGGACCACTTGCAAAATGCTTCGGACGGCTATGACTTAGTTCATAGATTTTTTTAGCGTGAAACAATCTTTGCTTATTTTGCCTAAGGGTGGCGGTCATTTCGT